AGTGTATATCTTTCGAGGGGGTAATAATTACATTCTCGAGTCAACTCAATCTACCCTTCTTTGAATCTATGTAGGAAATAATAGGTAACAACTACATTCTCGAGTCAACTCATCTATCCTTTCTTAAATACAACTAGTCCTAAGGGCAACTACTCCTGTGGTTACAACTTCATGTTCCAAGTAGTTCATTTAGCTGCTGACAACGACATTATCATGTTCGAGTCAACCTGAATCCAGGTATAAATGAGCAAGTATGAAACGAACTTAATACACGGGCATATTTAATATCAGAGTAGTGAGGAAGAGACCACTTTAAGCCAAAAAACAGTTCACCTAGTGTTCAAATACATTCTTTGGTAGGTTGTCGAGTCAACTCATCTATCCGTTATAGAATCTATGTAGTAAACCCTAGAATGTAATTATTATTTAGGGTTTACTACATAGATTCTAGAATGGATAGATGAATTGACTCGAGAATGTAATTAATACATAGGGTTTACTACATAGATTCTATAACGGATAGATGAGTTGACTCGAGAATGTAGTTGTTACCTATTATTTACTATATAGATTCAAGAAAGGATAGATGAGTTGACTCGAGAAGGTAGTTGTTACATTTTTAACATAAATAACCAGTAATTAATATGGGTAATTTTGAAACGTAATCAATTCATATACTGGTACATAACTTTCGTTTATTCAAGAGGTACACAGTTTGAAAAAGGATGATCTTGAGATTGGCAAGTCTATTAAGTTTACTATAGAATAATATTTTGAAATTTCAAGAGGGCCTTTATATTAGACAAATAATCAAAATTAATTTAAGTTTGGAGCGGAGATTCTTGTCGGACCTTTCGAGTCTGATTGAAAATGGACTTCTGTAATGAACTAAATGATCCAGGCTGGACACTTTAACTATGTTACTGGCAGACACGTCATTCTATTTCTAACAGTACTAAAAACATAAACCATTTCTATTATTGTTTGCCTTAACATCAACTTTAGCAGACAGGAAAATTAAAGACGCCCATTCCATCCATATATAGTACTTGTTCTGACATACTCTCATGAAAAAAAAAAAAAATCTTTATGTATGGCTGAAGGTTGACGTATTATTACCCCCCCCCCCCAGGATGGTTCCTTTCATTTCTGCTTTACTAAAATGTTATTTTATTTTTACTGATAAACTACGTAATGGGAGCTGATAGAAATTATATAACATATAAAATTGAAAATATATATTTGATCTAAATAGAACATGATGATAGTGTTTTTAAACTTAATAATTTATAAAAAAATAATAAGTTCTAACCGTGCTGATTGGATTAATAATACATTTATCCTTCACAGTCAGCGGTTATTAAGGAGAACCATGGGAAAACAGTGGATTATTGTGGTTGCTATCGGTAAGTTCAATTGTTTCTAAAATGTATTGCAGATAATTAATATTGTTTAACATAAATCTCGGCTATTTCGAAAAGCGAAAGTGAATCTTACTGTTCTGTTATTTAAAGATGCTTATTATGCCATTCCAGAGATAGTAAACAATGTTATTGTTAATTCTTTCCGAACATAAATTTACACTTTTAAACCGTCTTCCACAGAATTCGACAAACTTTCTTTAGTGATGAGAATATTTTTGATAAACGATTAGATATACATAAGTTTTCACATGCAACTTCCTGACTTTTCAGGGCTTTTGGCGACTTCCCTGAGTGCTGAAGAGAAACGAGTAAGTGTGTTATTGTTCTGTAAGGAAAAAGGAAAGGAGAACGTAAACAAAAACTATATCTTATAAAAAATACGTCTGACAAGTAAAAACTCATGAAGAGTTCTTACCGTATCCATTTTTCGGTAATATAACTAGTTTGGTACGATAAGTAGATCGTTTTTAAATGGTAAACATGGTTATTCCAGAACCCCAGGAAATCTTTAGGCACAAAATAACTACTTTAGTTCGATAAATTTTCATTACATCAGCAACCTTTTAACATTTTTATAATAAATATTTATGGTAAGTTATATTTTCCAAAACTATGACTGAACAGTAAACGTACTTTCCTCAAAGTTATTTTTAAAAGTACACAAATATTTACTTCTATTTTATACAGGTAAAACGAGATGGCTATGGAACTACACAACAAGCTGGAGGTGGTTTCCAGCAAGGTGGTGGCGGTGGAGGAGTTGGAAGCTATCCACGGCATGGTGGTGGTGGCGGAGGAGGCGGTTTCCAACAAGGTGGCGGAGGTGGCTTCCAGCAAGGTGGTGGTGGCGGAGGAGGCTATCAAACAAGCGGTGGAGGAGGCGGTTTCCAACAAGGTGGCGGAGGTGGCTTTCAGCAAGGCGGTGGTGGCGGAGGAGGCTATCAAACAGGCGGTGGAGGAGGCGGTTTCCAACAAGGTGGTGGTGGAGGTGATCTCTCTACGGGGCGCTTAGAGGACGTTATTCCAGGGACTCCAGGTCAAGATTATCCGACATACGATACCGTTCCAAACACGGGCTTTGACTGTAGTCAACAGCAGTATCCGGGTTACTATGGTGATGTTGATGCTCAGTGCCAGGTAGGAAGTTCATTACTTACGCATATCTGTGGATATACTCGTGGATAAACTAATCTCTGAACGTTTTGAAATATAAGACTCACATTTTGGAAGATGTTAGTTGTTTGGTCTCCGTATTAAAATTAAAAATGAAAGTCATTAAAGACAATTTTAAGTTCCAGTACTGTTTACTTTAATATGTTTTGAGGATAAAGACATCTTACGTATATTTTGAAAGTAGTCCACAATAGAAAATAGTTCGAATTGACGTGATATTATTATTATCGTTATCATATTACGGTAAGTTTATTTGTGGTTGAAAAGATATTTACAAATATGATTTTGTTAAATCAATCAACAAAGTGTTGTGACAATACGTAATACAACTGAACTGTTTCGTCTAGACGTAAAATTAAGCACCTTCTACATATTACAGACATCTTAAACAGTGTATTAAGTTGGGAAGTATGTAAATGTCGATCTAAGTTGGACTGTTTTATATCACCTTTCATCATAGAACCCTTTTTTTTTCTATAGCGCAGCCAATTCCTGATAAATATCAGCTCATGGCACTTACGATTTGAAACCTCTTTATTTTTACTTTAAATTAGGTTTTCCATATCTGTCAATCCGACGGTCGTCAGGACTCTTTCCTCTGTCCTATTGGAACAGTCTTTAATCAGCAGTACTTTGTTTGCGATTGGTGGTATAACTACAATTGTGCTGACACCCCAAACTATTACAACCTTAATGCAAATTTGTACATAGAACAAGGAGGAGGAAGCGGTGGTTATGGTGGTACAGGAGGTAATGGTGGCGGTCAGACTGGAGCTGGTGGAACAAGTGGCTATGGTGGTGGTCAGAGTGGAACTGGTGGAACAAGTGGCTATGGTGGGGGTCAGACTGGAGCTGGTGGAACAAGCGGTTATGGAGGTAATGGTGGTGGTCAATCTGGTGCTGGCGGAAGAGGTAGTTATGGTGGTACTGGTGGTGGTCAATCTGGTGCTGGCGGAAGAGGTAGTTATGGTGGTACTGGTGGTGGTCAATCTGGTGCTGGCGGAAGAGGTAGTTATGGTGGTACTGGTGGTGGTCAATCTGGTGCTGGCGGAAGAGGTAGTTATGGTGGTACTGGTGGGGGTAATACTGGAGCTGGTGGAAGAAATGGTTATGGTCAGACTGGAGGCAGTTACGGTGGTACGGGAGGAGGGGCAGGTGGAAAAGGTAGTTACGGTGGTACGGGAGGAGGAGCTGGTGGAAGAGGTAGTTATGGTAGTACAGGCGGTAATTCTGGTGGATACGGTAAAGCAGGTGGCTCTGATGGACAAAACGGTAGTGGTTATGGTGGATCTTCTGGCAATGGCTTCAGTAAAGGAAGAACACGATCAGGTGGCAGTCACAGTGGTGCTGGAGGTGGTGAAAAAGGACCCTATTTTAAACAGAATTTCAACAGTCAAAGTCAAAGTCACAGCTACGGGCAGCAACATGTGGGTTATGGACGTTAAAAATATTTGTGATGAGATGATGGCAGTCAAACTGTTATCCAAATTTTAAAATAAAAATTTTGGAGTTTTTTTAATATTAATGGAAATCCTTCAGGGGAGGGGTTCTTAAGAGAAATTCAGGTTTGTTGTCGATTTTAGAGAGTTCAATGACTGAATGACAGTTCGCAATGCGATATTTATCTTTTCTCCATTCTGCTGTCGACCAATACATAAAGACGAAACTCAAAGTTTCTAAATAAAATTTACAAAATTTCATTATAATTTTCTTCGAATTCTTAGGTTACCAATCACAATAAATGCTACTTCTTTAAAAACGTGCAGCTTTAAGTAATTCAATGGTTCCTTGCAGTACAAGTACGCTTTGTTGTTTTTTTCTGTAATTCTTAGAATTGTTTTTGTAATTATACTCTTAAAGCATAGAATATTTTGTGGTTTTATAGTTTTATGGTTGCATGTATACACTTGAAAAACATAAATAACAAAGCTAGAATTAGAAGTATACAAAGCTTGACCTTTCTACCAAAGCCAGGATTAAAACTATCCAAAACTTTACCTTTTTATGCCAAAGCCAAAATAAGAAATATCCAAAACATGATGTCTCGTTTGTGCTTTTTAAAATATATTTCTCCTTACGTTGAAATCTTGTGTTTGTGCCTGGGTAACACAGGGTAATGTGTAGTGTCTGTTAGTTTGTAGTACAAGACTATACACGTTCACTTTCCATATAAGGCCGATGATCAATATTTTGTCTTTTTCTCAGCTTTTTGTATATTTTTGTTAGAAATAACCTGCTCGTATATTTATTACATGATTATTTTAACTCTCTGAAATTTCGTACTAATAGGGTAATTGACTTGCAGTATAAATTAACTTTTTTTTGCAGGATAGTGACGAAGATCTAAATATATTTCATTAAGGTGCATCAGTTATATGATTTGTTTTTATTGTTTTGTAAGCATCTGTGTGTATTTAATTAGTAAGCAATAAACTGACTCTGAAAATACAAATATGGCTTTTTCATGGAATATTTATCATAAATCACATACACAAAAGCAATCATATAATGCACTGAATACATTTCGCTACTATTCCTTCCTCCAAATTTTAACAACTTAACTTGATATGTAACTAACTTAGTTATCTCAAATCTTACAGACAACTTTTATTTTAAACTAGTTCTCTCAACTCTAAAAGATCATTAAGATAATTCTCTACACTCTTAGAGACCATTCTTACATTAAACTACTTCATTAAACTAGTTATCTAAACTCTGAAACACCATTAAGATAGTTCTGCACACTCTTAGAGACCATTATTACATTAAACTACTACACTCAACTAGTTATCTAAACTCTAAAACACCATTAAGATAGTTCTGTACACTCTTAGAGACCATTCTAACATTAAAGCTACTTCATTCAAATAGTTATCTAAACTCTAAAACACCATTAAGATAGTTCTGTACACTCTTAGAGACCATTCTAACATTAAGCTACTTCACTCAACTAGTTATCTAAACTCTAAAACACCATTAAGATAGTTCTGTACACTCTTAGAGACCATTCTAACATTAAGCTACTTCATTCAACTAAACTCCTACATACAAAGTTTCTGTTATGTAATTTTTTTCTTTTTCAAAAACAAAATACCTTCTTCAAAAAAGTTGCTTGTGCTGTATCAATAGAATAATACTTGTAATTAAAAAGTAAACTCGAAACAAAACTATTAAAACAACTTTTCCGCTAAACTAGATCTCTCAACTCTTACAAACAACGTTTCTGTTAAACTAATTCTCTCGACTCTTACAAACAACTATTCTATTAAATTAGATCTCTCAACTCTTACAAACAACTTTTCTATTAAACTAGATCTCTCAACTCTTACAAACAACTTTTCTATTAAACTAGACCTCTGAACTCTTACAAACATTTTTTTCTGTTAAAATAGTTCTCTCAACTCATATAAACAACTTTTCTATTAAACTTGATCTTTCAACTCTTACAAACAACTTTTCTGCTAAACTAGATCTCTCAACTCTTACAAACAATTTTTTCTATTAAACTAGATCTCTCAACTCTTATAAACAACTTTTCTATTAAATTAGATCTCTCAACTCTTACCAAACAACTTTTTATATTAAATTAGATCTCTCAACTGTTGCAAACAATTTTTTCTGTTAAAATAGTTCTCTCAACTCATATAAACAACTTTTCTATTAAACTTGATCTCTCAACTCTTACAAACAACTTTTTTATTAAACTAGATCACTCAACTCTTACAAACAGTTTTTCTGTTAAAATAGTTCTCTCAATGCTTAAGACAATTCTTCCATAAATATAGTTTTATAAAAATTTTCAGACAAATTTTTCATTAAACTATTCATCTCAGATTTTATATTAAATATTTCTATTAAATTAGTTCCTCATTTTCTAACATACCATTTGTCAATCAAATTCAACTCTTACAGACAGTTTGCTATTAAACTGATTCTTCCAACTCTTACAGGCCACTTTCTATTAAACTAGTTTCCTTAACTCTTTAAACTCCCTTTTCCTTTATTCTAGTTATCTCTACTTTTACAACTCACTTTTCTAATAAAATAGTTAATTTGGTTTTCCTAATTCTTACACAGCACTTTTCAATTAACTCAGTTATCTCAAAACTAAAATACCAATTTTTCGCCAAACTACTTATCTCAATTTTGCAAAATACTTTGTCATTAAACAATTGATCGCAGCGCTTAGTGGTCTTTTTCAATTAAACTAGTTATTAACTGAACTCTCACAGGCTACATTTATGTTAAAGTAGTTAGAAAGTTAGATAAGTTTATTTTTTGATAAAACGACGGGGTTTCGAGCTCTAAGGGGATTGAACTCTTTATCTGTTCGATATAATTCATATAGAGCATATATACAACGATTCTGTTAATATTTCTTAAAATAAAGCTTTACAGAAATATAATCTAATCATTAAGACTATTATTTATTCTTTCCTCTTTACATTAATAGTGACATACTAAGCAAGAACTGACGTTAAAGTCAAGCATATATCAAGTGGAATAACAAAAACCGTTTTAATATTTCAAATCCATGTCTTCAGCAAGTGATATGAAGGAATCTAATTAATGCACCCCATTTCTACAACCAACAAAAGTACATAATAGCTATATAATGGCTGGAGACGGCTTAAATGG